GTGTCAGCCTGAAACAGAATAAATGCTCTACGATGTTTTCAGAAAAATAAAAGATGGGATTGCATCGCATATAGCTCCCATTAGCTCATTTATTCTCCAGCTTCTTCTACAGCAGTAAATGTTCAGTCCTGTGCGTTTGAGTGTGTGTGTTCTACTTCCACCTCGCCTCCTATCATGAGGAATTCTGTGTTCTGCACATTTATTTTCAAAATAAAAGGATTTTTGAAATAGTGTTCAAATCTGTTTCCAGAGGGCGCCAAACGGCTTGTTCTGCAAATCTCGTGATGTGAAACTAAGAATATCAAGAGACGGCTTCAAGCCTCTCTGTAAGCTGGTGAAACCTCTTACATAGATTCTGTTCTCTCTTCACTGGAGATCAGCCCTCCCCTGGTAGCCCTGCTGCGTTCTGCAACCCAGAAAACTTCCAGAGAGCTGGCCAATCAGAAGAAAGTGGGCACTAGGGCTGCCATTTTTTAATCGAAGTTCAAACATTCAAAATGTAATGACTGAGCACTGGAGATCAGGCCTTCCCCTGGCAGCCCTGCAGTGTTCTGATGGATTTAACAAACTTGCAGACTGAACTATTGGCCTTGTAGGCGGAGGTCTGTGTTCTCACTCTGAAGTTTTAGGGAAGCTGCAGGATGTGATGGAATATCCTTTTTGACATATTTCATGATTTTTAATTGGGATATTTTTGTGAGTGGAGAGCGTCTTCCTCTTAGTTATCTCAGCCCACAAGGCCGAAGTATCAAATTACAGCCTGAAGTTAGTGAACAATCAGACTCCCCTACACACACTCCAGTCTCTGATAATGCCATAACCACACACACACTTTCATTCACCCCCCACATAGTCAAGTGTGGGTAACGTGATATTGGGCTTTTGGAGCGCAGACCCTCAGCAAGCAGATGGCCGGCTATTCAAAAAATGTGCGGATGCTGGGACTCCAAGAAAGAAAGAAAGAAGGTTCAGAGCTGGGCTTTAACCTCGAGAATCCTGACAAAAATGTTCTTGACTCATTATATTTGAGCTTTCTCATATATGCTCGCAAAGAGGCTTTCTTAAGATACTGCTGAACAATAAGAAACAAAGAATTCTTAAACGTTTTTGGTGGAAAAATTATGTTTGCACAGAAAATTCGATTTTTATATTAAGCTGTCTCTTAGTTTGGAAGTTAAAACCCAACTACTGTTGAGGTGAATTTCCAATTTTCACAAAAAACTTGGGAACACACACACCACACTGAGGAGCTTTCAGCGAGCCCATCAGGTGCAGCACACTGACTGAGGACGATCAACCTCTCCTGGTCTCAGAACGACTGAAATCCCAGCACATGACTCACCCTAAACACCGCCCGTCTATTTGACAAATCAAACCAATACACCGTTATACTGTTACTTGAGTAATTGTTCCAGACATTTCTTCTTCTTGCTGGTTCCGGCCTCCCATATGAGAGGATTTTTGTTCCTTTCTTTGTCTGTTATGACATACATTTTCAGATCTGTGAGGGTTTGGACTGTTGGTTGGACAAAGGAATGGGGGAAGAAAGCGTCCCTTTGAGCTGGAGGCATTTCTTTTGTGGACATTTTATAAGCACAACGGTTTAAAAAGAAAAACCCAAAGTAATGGATATTGTTATAAGCTGGACCCTCTGTCTGCAAACTCTGGGGGAGACTAGGGAGAGGCTACACTGGTATTGATGCCTTGCCTTGACATGACATGTCTAGAAAATAAATAAAAACAGACCGTCATCGTCGTGTTTTAAAGTGAGGATGTCATTCTCCTTATTTTTGAGTAAACAAACATTCTCCATCCCCCCCTCACAATGACACGAACTGCTGAAAACAAACCACACATCTAAAAAGCCATTTAACTTTTTGACAGGTTCAGGGAACTTTGTCAAAGCGAATCATTTCAGTTGTCTAAATGAGGCAGTAGATGTGTGCAGAAGAGAGAGAGCTAGCAGGTGAACAAGGCATTTGACATTTGGCTCACACACATTCCTGCATCAGCTGACAAAAGAGTGAATGCTTGGTGTGTGTGTGTGTGTGTGTGTGTGTGTGTGTGTGTGTGTGTGTGTGTGTGTGTGTGCGTGTGCGTGTGCGTGTGCGTGTGTGTGTGTGTGTGTGTGTGGCCTACAGTCCAGTGTTCTGAGTGTGTGTTTGTTTAACTGTACTGTTCTCATGTTTAAATGGAGAAGCCCCACATGCACACATCCAGCTGTTTGTCCATACGTCTTATAAGCGGTATAGCCTCGAACTCACCTGTTTGTCCGGTGAGGTGTGTGAATCAGCCGAGCATGGTGTCGCGTGGAACAGAGCCTAAGTCACATCCACGCGAACAAGCAGAACAAGTAGCCTAAGTGTGATGAGGTCCAGCAGCTCCACTTCACGTCACTGTTAAGTTTTCCTCCAAAAAAAAAACCGCTCGAGACTTTCGGTAAAGTTTCTGTTTTAAGAGGGAGGGGGAAAAAACAAACACCGGATCGGGACAGAGCGCGTAAAGGTGTTCCCCTCGGATCCACAGACAGTCGGAGGTGTGAGTCAGGACGGTCAGCTCCGCACATCTGACAGGATTCAACAACAGTAAGAGCAGCGGACACAACAGACGAGACAAGCTACGCACAATGACGCAGAGCGGGACGGGAAGTGGGATGTTATAGTCTTCAAAATAAAGTCCCTAAAACTGTCACACCTGAAAAAGGCTGTTGGAAATTATGAGTGGCACCAAAGTGTTTTGAAAAAAAAAAAAGATGTGACTTTCATAGCAGACCCATGTGTGCTGTGATTAAAATGTGTCCACTCGGGAGCGCTGGTAGCGTAGTGTTTACTGTGCACGCCCCATGTATGGAGGCTGTTATCCTCTAAGCGGATGGCCCAGGTTTGAATCCTACCTGTGGTTCATTTCCAGCCTAACTCTCTCCCTGATTTCTGATTCTATCCACTGTCCTGTCTCTACATAAAGGCAAATAAATCTTTAAAGTTTTTCAGTAGATTAATATATAATGCCAAAATAAAAGTTAGACCAGCACCTCTATAGATTCAACATTTATTCATTTCTCTGAATCTAGTTATTTAAATTGTTTACACAAGAACAAAAATGTCTCCCATAAGTAGAAAAAATATAATAAATTATTCCAAACAGTGGTAACATAAAAAAAATGCATACACATTCAAAAATAAATAGCTGATACCAAAATAACAAATTCTTCTTCTAATAGGATTTTCTAGGTTTACTACTGAACATTAATTGCTCTCAAGATTTGAACACAAAGGCACAGAAATACATATTTTTTTCCATCTTAACTAGGGTTTTCTTACTTAATTATTTTCTTAATTATATGTTTATCTGACCTACTTACTATTTAATTCTTGTATTTTCTTACTTACTTAAATTGGGCCATAAGTGGTTTTATTTTGAAAATACCACCCAGAAACGTTGCGCTTACCTGCGCTGGCTTCACACCGGGCTGACGCTCTTCAGTGTGACCGGTTTAGACAAGACCATATAGATAACAGAGGCACCTGAACGCGGTTAAAAGTGGTCCAGTTCACATTGTGAGGTGCTTTTCAAATCAGTCAACACAGTGAAACATGTTTGTAGACTTCTTCTGACGGTTTTTACAGAATCTCTGATCTTCAGGATTTCACCGCTTGCTGTGGCTTCATGGTCCATGTTTTATAGTCTGTCTGCTTTGAACATCTTTGTTTTATATTTTGTTGATGCAAACCGTGACAAAAACATTTCTTATTTGAACTCCAGCCTTGAAATCCTTCGAGATGAAAATGAACAATGCCTTCAGGAGTCTCCTCCTTGTCTGGACCTGCCAGACTGACGTGTGACTGCCCTCTGCTGGTCCAAAGGGGGGACTTATTTTAGCTGCAAGGCCTTAACTTGCTGAACATGCCTTATTAAAGATTCAAAGAATAAGTCAAGCAAAAAGCGGTTTTATAGCCAGAAGCAATCTAGAGTCTGTTGTGGCCCTGGGTAAAAACTCCCTGAGGGCCCCTCCAACCAGCATTCATCACCATTAAGATATGAATAATCTGACATGAACAAAATAAATTGTGAACTGTAAACTATGTATTTATATCCACAGTTCACATCAGTATTATTTTCAATATATAAATAGGAAGAACAATAAAAATCACAACAATAAAAGCTTAACAGTGGTGTGCAGAGTTGGACACTGATCTGTTCTGCTATTTAAAGAGGACATATCATCCCCCTTCTCCACCTTTTCAAACAGTCCCCCTGTGGTCTAAATGAAACATTTGTGCTGTGCTTTGGTCAAAATATAACATGAATAAAGCACCAGAAGAGATTTGTGACCCTGTATAAACAAGCTCTCTCAGAACGCTCCGTTTTGGTGTGTGTGTCTCTTTAAATTCAATGAGTCCCCCCCCCCTGAGTTTTCCCAGTAGACATCACTCCTCTGTAGCGAGAATAACCTGCGCAGAAGTTTTGTTCTAGTCTGGGGGTGAAGTCCATGGATGGAGATATCAGGGGAGGGGAGGAGATTTTTATTTTTATTTTTTACAAGAATCCCACTGTGACATCACAATGAAAGCACATTTGAAACAGAGCATTTTTCTCTGTGTTTTAAGACTTATGCAGACCACAAACAAAGGACTGGATGGGTTTATTTCACATTTTGCGGGTCAGTAGACACTCAGGTTATCCAAATATATGTTCAAAAACACTGTAAGAGAGGATTTGTCATCATATATCTCCTTTAATTATAATGTTGAAAATAGGCTATCTGAGTGTGTTATTGTGTGTTGTGTCTGCGAATATTGAACAAAATTAGGACAGAGATTTCCGAGGTGACGGTTGACTGATGAAACAATCAAAAGACCAAAAAGTTGTCCACATGAGATTGACAGCTTTTATTAACAACTCTGCTCGGGAGAGGAGGTGGCGGTAAAGGAGGAGGAGGAGGAGGAGGTGGACGTGGGGGGGGGCGTTTCCCTGCGTCGCTCTGTCCTCTACACCTCAGATCTCACCTGTCAAGTTGAAACTCCACGGCTGTACAAACGGTGCACAGGAGCGACAGGTAACTGAAATTAAAAAAAGCAACATGGAGTCTCCGGTGAAGGATTCCCCCGTCAGAGCGGGATTTCACCGGCTGGAGGTGCAGAAAACGACGTGGGACGTCCCGGAGAGATACACGACGCTGCGGTCGATCGGCTCCGGAGCTTACGGGACTGTTTGGTGAGTTGACCCGGGGAGGGGGCACCTAAGAACGGGCATAGTGACGAGGGAGGCGCGGCAGTGTGTTATGTGTCAAACCTTTTGGCGATAGTCTATTATCCTTAATTTTATTTAAGGAAGTCTAAAACCAGAAATTCTGGACGTTTTTACCACAAATAAATGATACTCTAGTGTTGAACACCAACCCATAAGGACATTAAAATGTTTTAAGACACCTCCAGCATGCATCGACCTGCTTCATTATTCTAGTTTTAGGAATGGATCTTTGATAGCCAACGTGTTTTGCATCTTAAATTGTTTTCTATAAGCAGTCGAAACGTAAGTAGGCATTCAGTCTGCATTCCTCTCCCTGTGCACTGTGCTGCTTGCAGTCCAAGAGGCCTAGATAACTCTGACATTCTGCCAACAGAAGCACTATTGTCCGCCTGAGGCGAGTCAGCAAGTCAATGCAGGTCCTCTGATACGACAAGAATCTCCAAAGCAGCCTACAGGAATCCAGGATATCTCAGGCATAGTGCGGTTGAATGACAAGACGCTGACAGGCAGGATCTTATTAACTGATACTGACTTATCAGCTCAGCAAGAGAACAAAAGAGAGGAGAACAAAAGAGAGGGGGCAGAAGAAGAGATTAGATCATTGATATCAGTGTTTTTATTTCAGATCTATATTTAGGATGGGTTTCTAATCTTTCACGTTAGTAAAGGGATCTCATTATGAGCAACAGATCACCTCTAAGATACACTTTTCTCCAAAAACACTCCAGCAGAAATACATGATTCTCACGTTGATGCAGAGCAAATCTAGAAGACAGAAACTTCAGTGGAGGCTGGATGTTCTGTCAATGAAGCAACTTTTCTTTTTTTTTTTTTTACCTTTATTCAGACAGGTAATGTCAACACGGAGGCACAGATTCACAATCACAGCAACACAACACAGCCCTGATGTGACCTTTAAAATGTGCAAATGAAGCAGAGGTGTGGAAGTCGGTACAGAGACGAAAACACAAATAGTAACATATGAAGTGGGAGTGGTTTGAGAAGGAGTATCAGGGCCACATTAAGGGGATTTTATTTTAAATTTTGTGATTAAAGTCATACATTTACAAGAGTAAACTCTCCAATTCATAAGCAAAAATTTGTATGCGAATAAAGTCGTTTGTTTGTTTGTCTATATTTATATTTTGTGCAGTTAAACTTTAGTAAAGGTTTCACACATAAATACATACTTCCTTGTGTAGTCTGTTATACAGACTGAGTATTACCTGCTTTAAAGGAGATATATGATGACAAATCCACTCTTACAGTGTTTTTGAACATATATTTGGGTAACCTGAGTGTCTACTGACCCACAAATTGTGAAATAAACCTATCCAGTCCTTTGTTTGTGGTCTGCATAAGTCTAACAACACAGAGAAAAATGCTCTGTTTCAAATGCGCTCTCCTTGTGATGTCACAGTGGGATTCTGGTAAAAAAAATCCCCTCCCCTCCCCTGGTATCTCTACCCATGGACTCCACCCCCAGCCTAGAGCAAAACTTTTGTGCAGGTCCACCATTTTTATTCTCGCTACAGAGGAGTGATGTCTACTGGGAAAACTCAGGGGGGGCTCATTACATTTAAAGAGACACACACACCAAAACGGAGCGTTCAGAGAGAGCTGGTTTATACAGGGTCACAAACCTCCTCTGGTGCTTGATTCATGTTATATTTTGACCACAGCACAGCACAGATGTTTCATTTAGACCACAGGGGGACTGTTTGAAAAGGTGGAGAAGGTTTGATAATATGTCCTCTTTAAAGCATTAGTTTGACAAGTCTCTAAATATCCGACTAGTTGTGTTGGGGCTTTACGTCTGCAGATTAAAACTACACATGCTTTTAGCACATCAGCGTCACATTGTGATGATTATCAGGACCCTGAAAAGATACTGTAAGAAACTGGGGCTTATCCGAAGAGAGAATCAGACCGACCTGTAGGAAATTGTCTCTTTTTTGGTAGAGAAATTACTTTGAGGGTTCTCCTTTCCTTCCCTCTTAGTTCTGCCATGGACCAGAAAACAAAGGAGAAGGTGGCCATCAAGAAGCTGTACCGTCCGTTCCAGTCACTCATTCACGCCAAGAGAGCCTACAGGGAGCTCAGGCTGCTGCGACACATACAGCATGACAATGTAAGAGAATTTAATGGATGGGGGAGGCAATCACATGACGCAAAAGATATATTATCTAGTATAGTAGTGCCATGACCCGCTGATGTCGCCATTATGTGTTTGTTTGTTCTCACTCAACAAAGAATCGGTTAGTGATGCAAAATCAACTGATCATTCAACAAGAGCAGAAACGTTGTCAGTGCTTCCTGACAGCCTGGGCGTGTTGTTGTGTGCCGCCCGAGCCCTCATGGTTCAGTATTGTCACTGAAAACTTGTGAGGGGACTACAAACACTTACAGGGCCACGTTTATCTCTGCCGATTTCCTGAGATAACCCCATGAAATTAACGTATTTATACCGTGTGTCTCTGTTCTATGGAGACCTCTGAGGGGGGAAATCGTGTGTCATCAGTTTCTGTTCTTGTGAAGAAATTATGGAACTATATTTTTATCATAGGCTCAGACTTAAAAAAAACACAAACATCCAATTTCAATCCAAGTACAGAAACATTACATGTATGACCCTGAAGCTTAACCCTCACATACTGTTCATATTCTCAGTCCCCGACCTGCAGTTCCCTTATTGTGTCTTTACCAACATTTGTATTGCAGGTCTATTTAGAATGTATAAGCAGCTGGTCTGACATTCATGAAAGTGTGATTTATTCTTGGAGAAAAATGTTCCCCGGGAACTCTGTCACTACTGTCCCATAACAAATACACAGAGCCATGGTCTTTCAAAGTCTCGAGATTCCCAAAAAAAACACTCTGCAAATACTCACATTTAGCAAAAAAAGGAAGGCCTGCGTTGTGAGTATTAAGTAGAAAATGAAATCTGCCAATGGGGAATGAACATTTCATTTGTCTAGTGTCTTGAAATTGAATCCATCCGTCCATTATCTAAAATGCTTTTCCCGTTCAGGGCAGCAGGGATTGGATGATATGATGCATGTCGCTGACAGCATACCTGTCTATCAGTCTACAGTCCGGCTTACAGATCGTGGAGCCGGCCGTGTTTTAAATCATGCTGGCTGTTTGGATGTAGCGTCTCCCCCTTGGTCTGCTGAGCTAACATGAGCTGCACCTGGGTCTCCTGTGTCTGCAGCACGGCGCTCTCTGACAGCTAGTTTAGAAGAAGCCTGTTGTTGTTCAGCTCGGTGCTTCGTTCCTGTCAGAGGCACTGCTCCTTGTGATGTCACAGTGGGATTCTGGTAAAATAAATACCCTTCCCTCCCCTGGTATCTCCACCCATGGACTCCACCCCCAGCCTAGAGCAAAACTTTTGCGCATGTCCACCATTTTTATTCTTGTTACAGAGGAGTGATGTCTATCGGGAAGACTCGGGGGGAGGGGGGGGGTCATTACATTTAAAGAGACACACACACCAAAACGGAGCATTCTGAGAGAGCTGGTTTATACAGGGTCACAAACCTCCTCTGGTGCTTGATTCATGTTCATATTTTGAACAAAGCACAGCGCAGATGTTTTATTTAGACCACAGGGGACTGTTTGAAAAGGTGGAGAAGGGGGATAATATGTCCTCTTTAAAGCATTAGTTATACAAGTCTCTAAATATCCGACTAGTTGTGTTGGGGGATTTATGTCTGCAGATATGAAACTACACATGCTTTTGGCACATCAGCGTCACATTGTGATGATTGCTTGTCAACAGGCAAGGCATGCACCTGCTTGGGGCCCCAGACCAGTATGGGGACCCCGAGGGCTAACAGACTTTAAACCAAAGCAGTGGCCCAAAATGTGCAAATTTTGCAATGGCTGTAGGAAACCTCCCTAAGGGCCCCTCGCATTGGACAGTGGCGTTACATTAATAGTCCCAACACATGGGACATAAGTCACAGATTGTTTTCTAAGATCATGACATAACATACAGGAATAAAAGCATAAAAGATGAGGTGACAGTCTGAGCCAGGCAATGAAAAATGTTGAATAATACAATACGCAGTAAAAAATGCACAATACCTGTGTTATATCGAATAGCGCTACCAATCGACATGTGCTACCATGCAGCTCGGCGTTTTTCTTCTATCGAGAGATGCTTCCTCTAAAATCTTCAATCAAGGTTTTATCACAGAGTCAAAACATGCTTCCTGTTTCCTTAAAGTGCAAATGCAGCGAGTACTGGGTGCGTTATTTGATAGCAGATTATTGTCCATCGAGCCTAGCTTCCCCTGAAATCTTCAATAATGGAGTACCAGAGCTTGCTCCCCACACTCTGACAATGCTCATGGAGTGAGTCATGAATTCAAAACAACAACATTACTTGGTAGAGGATACAGATAGTCTCTGCTATCGTTTAGCGCTATGGCTGCATTTTTTTGACAAGGCAGCACATCTCGTCAGAACACCGGCAGTCCAGATCTTTCCGTTTCAACGTACATACATACAAATAAATTCATGTGTTCCCTCTGTTTTTCCCTTAAAGGTCATCTGCCTCCTCAACGTCTTCACACCCGACTCCACTCTGGAAAAATTCCAAACCTTGTGAGTGAGGACACATTCTTCTGCTGGTTGTTGCAGCTTGTCGAGACCCTGTGTGCGTGTGTGTGCATGTACGAAAAGTTCAAGCAAGGAGAGTAGGCTGTTTTTTTCACGGCCGTTGTTTTGGGCATGTTAAATTTTCTCACCATAGCAACCAGCTCTTGTCATCTTTGGCATAAAGACCCCCTCCACAACCCCTTTACAATTTTGATGATATTTGACGATGATGGTCTTTCTGTAATGTTTTGGTCACTCACCGTTCTCCTTCTCTCTCTCTCTCTCTCTCTCTCTCTCTCTCTCTCTCTCTCTCTCTCTCTCTCTCTGTAGTTATATGGTGATGCCGTTGGTAGCCCAGGATCTGAGCCACATCATGAAGAAGAAGAGATTAACAGATCGCATCATTACATACCTGTTCTACCAGCTGCTGAGGGGGCTCATGGTGGGTTTATTTATTTTTTTCTTTAATGTGTACACTTACAATCTCTGTAAATAATAGGACAAACAGTAAGTAGACAGGCTGTGCCCTGGAAGAGACAACGAGGGAAACAAAATGTTTGCAAGATCTCGACAAACTTCTCCAAGAACTCGAGATCTCAACGAGAACATGTGTGAGATCTTAGTAAACCTCTGAGAGAACCTGAGAGACTTTTCTCAGTCTGTGCCCCGGAAGAGACAAGGACAGGAGAGAGAAACTTTTGCCAAACCGAGACAAACGTTTAGAAGTAGGGGCATGTCCACTTAGGGCTTCCATACCTCTGGAACATTTTTTATTTATTTCTCCTACAAGTGTGTGTGCTCTTCCTCTGTCCCTGTGACTTAGAGAAATTCTGCTGAATAAAAAACGTTTGCGAGTTCTTGCAAAAGTTTCAGTCAGGATCTCCCAAATGTTTCTTGGGATCAAACCAGAAAAATGTTCCCATCGTGTCTCTTTCAGGGGCGCCATACAATGTAGACAAAAACGTTTAGAGCTGATCACTGATTAGCTTAATACGCCCTATCTGTGAAATACATAAAAAAATAAACTCTTTATTGAAATGATTCAAAGACAAAAAACATGTTTATATTTATTTAAAACACTAAATTAACATTTAATTACTCAGGTGATGAACATCAAAATGGATTTCTTCACATTTCTTTCAATCAGTATCAATGGAAATACAAGGAAACAGCTCAGCAGAGTGATGTGTTGACCTATGAACTTACTCTGCACTCTCCCTCTTTATATACTCAAGGTCTGTGAATCACACCAGTACCTTTAAATGCCATTCACAGAAAGAATATTTGCTGTTCCACTTATTGTTAGTCAATGTGTAACCATGAGTGTTCAACAGAAAAGTCAAATGAAGCACGTTTTGAACTGGAAAAGCAGTCCAGCTTCTCTTAAGTGTCCTTTTGTCTTTGAATTAAGTTGTAAACCTTTTGACCCAGAGCTGTTTCCCCCTTTCTTATCTGTGTTTGTGTTTGCGCTGAGCACTTTTCTGTGCTGTAAGAATAGCCTGGATTTCACTCTAGGGCTGGAAAATACAGAGTTTATGGCCGGGCGATTACCTGTGTGGGTGGAGAGACTGCGATGTGTTTTAATTAATCAAACGTTCCCGTCAGGCCATTTCAATAGCTTTAGAGCTTTGCTCAACTTTCTGTAAATGAAGTGTTATGATAATGCGTTAGGAGGATTCACTTCAGTGTCTTTAGTGGTAGGAGGAGAAGCAGGGTCAGTACTGATGTCACACCTGAGGGGTGTGTGGTGCACACTCAGGGGTAAGGATAGCATTTAGCGGTGGGTTTGTGTAGCGGCATAACAGAAGTCTCTCTACTGAAGGAGCAGTCAGTAAGATGTGTAGTGAGTGAAATGATAAAGTGACCTTACTATATGATCAGACATTAAGGAAACATGCTATGTTGAAGTGCTGGCTTCTCCGACAACAATGCAGCAGCCAGTATGTCCTCCTTCTAACTTTAGATTCTGGTCCTGAATGCTCTGGATTTGTTTGGACCAGAGAAGGTAGGCGCTTTTAAGACACACCCCCACACGGCCGTTTTAGACGCCCCTCTGTTTGCCAGATATGAGAGCAGTTATCAGGTCAACAGGTGTTGCAGTGATGGAAGCGGGCAAGAGAAGTGGTTCAGATAGAAGTGATTGTACCCGACCTAAAAAGCCTCTGCATGTTTCTAATAAGCTCCACGAGCAGAAACGTGCTCAAACTAGGATCAATATTGGAGATGCTTTTGAAAAATGGAGAGAGGTTAGAACACAGAAAGGTTTACAGACCCATGCAGAGCTGGATAAACACTAAAGCTACAGTGTCCACCACATGGTGACCTGTGTGAGCATGGACTCTAGAGAGGAGGGGGCAGGGGGAGACATTGTAGAGACATTGTAGAGACAGCTCTCTACAATGTTTAGAATTTGGACTGCAGTAGGAGTTACATATTGCTCCTTTAATGTTATTTTAATATGCTTGATTTGTTTTCTTATTTACAGTACATTCATTCTGCAGGGATCGTCCATCGGGTAAGTATCTTAAACTTTTTTTATACCCTACGTACTGAACGTGCGCTACTTATTAGCAATCTCCATTTTCTTGCTCCCTTATATAAACTGTATGTCGTCTCCTTTAGGGCTCACTTGTCATACCAAGCAAAGCTAATGGGTTGCTAATTGAAGCTCACTAAAATTATGAGCTGCAATAGCCAGATTGATTCCTTTTAGGAGAAACAGGCTGCAAATTTAGAAACGTGCAAAAGTCCAAAACAAATGGAACAACGGAAACATGCTGCAAAGCTAAAACAGATTTCTTAACGGCAAATTCACAAGTGATGCAAAGTTAAAAAATAACACACTTATCCAGCAAGCTAATGCAAAATAAAAATGTCTAAATCAAGTCGTCACAATGGACGCCTTTTTCTCCTGCTGAGGATGCTTTGGACAGCTGCAGCATGTTTGAATTGTGGGCCACCGTACACTACACTATAACACTGTGGGTTATATTCATTGGTGGGACTCAAAGTGTGGAAAGGATTTGACCGCTGACAATGCTCTCCAATTGAGATGTAAGAGTCCATCTTTTCATTGAACCTTGAGCGAGAGAAGCGACTAAGAGAAGTTCCAAACTGTTACTGTAGATATTTCCTTTTGATTGATTGATTGATTGATTAAATTTATTTCAGACATATCAAATAAAATCAAACATATCAAAAATACAAAACAAAATGAAAAGCACGAAAATACAATAAACAAAAAACAATGTTCAAATTATTTCACAAAAAAAGAAAAAGAAAAAGAAAATTGCATATATTCAATTGATATGCCTGAAAAGGAGTAAGAAGAAGTATAAAACTAATCCTACCCCTTTTCCACAGCTCAGTAATTAATATTTATTCAATTAAATTCCTGTGTTCCTTATAAGCTATCTATATACAATTTGCTATACTATTATTACTATTATTTATATATATGTTTTCCTTCTTAAAGCTCTCCCTCATCCCTGTACCTTTTGAAAATCATTGCTTTGTACATTTTTTTAAACTGGATCATGTTTGGACAATGCTTTAGCTCCGTGCTCATACCATTCCACAGTTTCACACCACTAATTGAAATGCATTGACTTTTTAAAGTCGTGCGAACAGCTAGCATCTTAAAATTTAACTTTTCCCTCAAATTATAACCCCCCTCTCTGTCAAAAAAAAGTTTTTGAATATTACCTGGTAGCAGTTTGTTTCTTGCTTTGAACATGATTTGTGCCACTTGATAGTCAACCAGGTCAATGAACTTTATAGTACGGGAATGTAAAAACAGGAGGTTGGTGTGATCATAATATCCTGCTTTATTGATTGTTCTTATGGTTCGTTTTTGAAGTGTAACTAGTGGTAGCAGTAAGTGGTCCCTCACACCTCCACACAGTAATTTAAATAAGGTAAGATCATTGAACAGTAGAGAATATGCAATGATTTGTGATCCAATATATGCTTTGCTTTACACAGGACTGAGATGCTACGTGACAGTTTAGATTTAACATGTTTTATCTGAGGTTTCCAGCAGAGCTTGTGGTCTATTGTCACACCCAGGAATTTATTTATATATACTCTTTCAGAGTTAACACCATCTATCTTAACATTTACGTCATTATTTAAATTACAATTTCCAAACAACATGATTTTTGTTTTGCTTAAATTCATTGATAATTTATTATTGTCAAACCACCTTTTTAATTTGCTCATTTCAGATGTAATTAACTCCAGAAGCTGCTGCAAATCCTCTCCCGTGCAAAAAATATTTGTGTCATCCGCAAATAACACAAATTGTAGAATATTTGAGGTTTTACATATATCATATTTATAGAGAATAAAAAGAAATGGGCGCAACACTGACCCCTGGGGGACACCATAAGCAATGTCCAAACAAGATGACGTGTATTCACCCAACTTCACAAACTGTTGTCTGTTATGTAGATAGCTCCTCAGCCAGTTTAATACAACCCCCCTGATACCATACCATTCTAATTTATGAATTAATCTGTCATGATTTATTGTATCAAATGCTTTTTTGAGATCACTAAAAACACCAGCATAATTCTTTTGGTCCAGGGAATTTGTGATTTTTTCAATTAGCTCAGTGACTGCTAATGAAGTGGATCTGTTGGGTCTGAATCCATATTGGCTGTCAGTTAGTAAGTTGTGTTTATTGATAAATTTGTTAAGTCTGTCAGCAAAGAGTTTTTCTAAGATTTTTGAAAATTGAGGAAGCAGTGAAACAGGCCTGTAGTTTGTGAAGTGGTGTTTGTCTCCAGTTTTGTACAGCGGTATGACTTTTGCAATTTTCATTTTTCTTGGGAATTTACCAGTTTTAAATGATAAGTTACAGATGTGCGTTAGTGGTTTTGCAATTCCGTGAATGACCTGTTTAACTATTCTCATGTCAATGTCATTATAGTCAGTAGAAGTTTTGTTTTTACATTTATGAACAATCGATATAATTTCACTCTCTTCCACTGCTGTTAGAAACATTGATTTTGGATTAATGTCTATGAAATCATAATTCTTGTCGTCAGATCTCACAGAAACAGGGATTTTTTCAGCCAGTATTGGTCCAACATTTACAAAATAATTATTGACGCCATAATTTTGATTTATTAATTCATTTTTTAAAGTGTTCATTGACTCTCTTCTGTACTTGACTGTACTCTCCTGTTTTTCCCTCTTGTAGTTGTTATTGAAAACTATAAACACTGGCAGATGGTCACTGATGTTGATCATTAATCCACTTATTGTATTATTGTCTATAACGTTTGTAAATATGTTGCATCTATTAGTAATAAGATGTATTGTGTTTCAATTCAGGATCTGAAGCCTGGTAACCTCGCTGTCAATGAGAACTGTGAATTAAAGGTAAGACCACACCAGATTCATGGGGTTCTTATTCGTTACATCTTAATGAAAATATGTTCTAACTTTGAAGTCAATATTCAAACATCCAACACTGTTCATCGCCTCTCGTTGTGCAGAACAGTCAACACACACTTCTGTGTAGTAAACCTTTATTTGTATCTGTTCTCAGATCCTGGATTTTGGCCTGGCCAGACAAACAGAGAGTGAAATGACGGGTTATGTGGTGACGCGCTGGTACAGAGCACCTGAGATCATTTTCAACTGGATGCACTACAGTCAGACAGGTAAGAAGAGCTCCTTCCTTTCATACCAACAGTCCGTTTTAGACTGTTGAAAACAAACCAAACTAGGAAGTTGAAGTTATTTGAATTTCTATTATTAAGATTCTTTCTTTACGCCTCCCCCTCCCTCACAGTGGACGTGTGGTCAGCCGCCTGTATCCTGGCTGAGATGATCACTGGACAGGTGCTTTTCCCAGGACATGACAGTATCCTTCAGCATTTATCACACTGCATTTTAATAAAGCTGTGTTATTATAGCTGTCAGAAGCTCATCCCATCTAAGCCAGGCTCCTGAGTGATCCAGAATTTATAAGAAATGGTGCAAGATGTTTCAAGATGCCCCCTGGTGCACGCTGCACAGGGGACACAAAACATTTTGCTTAACTGTACCATTGCAATGAGCCTAAAACCAACAGCCTGTTCATAATCCAAAATAATTTATTTTTAAAAATTATTCCCCAGAAACACAAGTCTATAAACTTTATTGTGACGGAGGGCAGCTCTCTTTTTATTGACAGTATTACCTGCCGACACCCATTTAGAGGGTGCAGAGGTTAGTGGTACACACAAATATTTGCGGGTTTGTAGCGACCCTGTGCCTCTCCACTAAAGCAGTGGGCTGCTGTCTGCAGAAAGTCTACCTCTTGCATGTTTCCATCTCCTGAATCGCACCCTGGCCCGTTGCTTTTGCCACATTACAGTTTTCACTAACTGAAGTCAAGAGTGCCTGCAATGGTCAGGTTACACTCACAGCGCCCTCTGCTGGATCAAACTGTAAACTACTTCAGACATGGCTACTATACTGATAGATTGAACATTTTGAATTTGAACTTCCTCACACAGGTTCAAATGAATGTTCGAACTTTGAATTAAGAATGACAGCCCTAGTGCCCACTTTCTTCTGAATCCGGGTTGCAGAACGCTGCAGGGCTGCCAGGGGAGGGCTGCTCTCCAGTGTTGGGAGAAGAGAGTCTATGTAAGAGATTTCACCGGCTTACTTACAGGCTTGAAGCTGTCTCGCTAAATTCTTCGTCTCATATCGAGGAACTATCACAAGATTTTTAGAAGCCGTTTAGCTCCCTCTGCAGACTTACCCTGGGACTACTCCAACACACGTTTACCTTATGATCTCATGACCTCATGATAGACACTACAGAAATAATAACCGCGTCATGTGCACAGTGAAAGAAAAAAATGAAAGCCATCGTATGCCTTTTCAGTATTTGATGACGGTTTATATTTGCTGCAATTTGTGAGGCCTCCTTAACCCGAGTGTTCAGGTATTGATCAGCTGAAGAAGATCCTCCGTCTGACAGGAACCCCCGACTCCTCCCTGGTTCAGAAGATGCAGAGTAAAGACGTAAGTTTTGTCTAATGGGTGCAAGTTCATATTCAAGCTAATATTAGCACTTTTAATTCTTCATATTTTAATAATAAAGGTTTTTAAGCCAAGGCAGTGTGTATCAAAATTTTGGTTGAAACGGTAAACATCATATTTTGTCTATGCTTACATCATGTTCTATTTTCTGTATTTTAAGCACATGGTGTGGTTTGTTTCAGGCACAGTCATACGTGCAAAGTCTTCCTCAACAGAAGAAGAAAAACTTCAGGGAGGTGTTCCCATCCATGGAGAAAAATGGTGCTCTTTGCTTCTCCTTCGTTTAATCTTAATTTCATAAAACAATAGCATTTTCTTTTGATTTTTCAGTTTTTCCTCTTTGCATGTTTCTGCAACATTTTGTCTTCAAGCCTAAACCATTTTAGCGTGACCTGGGGCGGCTGTGGCTTGTAGTAGAGTCGGCCATTTCTCAACAGGAAGGTCGGAGGTGTCAGGGGTCCAGCTCCTGCAGGGGTCAAGGCACTTAACCCCAAGTTGCTCCCGCTGCTTCTTCAGCCACATATGAATGTGTATGAATGGGATTACTTAATACTGATTGACACCTTACTGTACATAGAAGCCTCTACCTTCAGTGTGTGAATGCGTCGGTGTGACAGCTGAAAACAAATGAATCAACATTATTCTGATCATTTGACAGTCATTCCATCAGAAAGAAACCGTTAGTGTTGATCCTAAATGTAAAGCACATTAATGAAATGTTCTCTTCTATTTTATTCCATGGCTAATAATCAGATATATTTAATTTGTTTCTCCTTGTCTTTTTGCTTCCAGCTGTAGACATTCTGGAGGGGATGTTACAGTTGGATCCAGAGACCAGGCTGACGGCTAAGCAGGGACTGTCGCACCCTTTCCTGGCTGAGTTTTACGACCCAGAGAGCGAGCCGGACTCAACGCCATACGATGACTCTTTCGAGAGCCTGGAGCTCGACGTTGGAGAGTGGAAGAGTAAGTATGGAGGCTGGAGGTGACTCTTTAGAGGGATAGTGAGTTTTACAATGCACCAAAACCAAGTGTGTTAATGGAATATTTTTCTATCCATTCAGGTCTCATCCACATGGAGATCATGACCTTCGATCCTGACAACCCCAGTCAGACAGCCATGTAGGGCGCCATGATGTGCTGCTGCCACCCGCTGTTACAATGCTTACACATACGCTAAAGGTCAATGACACTGTAGAGCTCACGGGTTCTGTTTAAAGGAGATCAGTCCTGAACTGAGCTACTGAGGTGTAACGTCCAGGAGTGACCTGGCTGACACTCTCCACATAGTTGCTGTCATCATCAGCAAAATGATCTGCAGCCAGACCGGACTGCGATTAAACCACTTCCTTTATTAAATCGTCACTGCAATAACATAGAGAAAAGTCCACAGCAGAGGCAATCATACTCTCTTCGAACATACTGTGATGAAACCAGCCTTGATGCCGTAGTGGTCGAAAACCATTATGCCCTTTCAGGATCACACACCTGACCTCGATAGGGATTTTCCTCTCATGTTTAGCCCACACATTACATTTCAATTAACTGCATTCAAAGAAACATTTAATTTGGCGCTTACACACCAGCCCCTTATTCTTCCTGTCAGGATGATGCAACAATTCAAACAACAAATTAAAACAGGCAAATGTTACAATACATCAAATTAACCCAACTCCAGAACAGACCATTCTGTATTCCGAAGATCGTTTCCCAAAAGTTCTGTCTGTGAGCTTGTGGTCATACTGGTCCTTTTGCATTTCATCCATTTTGTCCACAGAAAATCTTTTTTTACCTTGACTGAAGGAAACTTTGCATTCAATGCAGCACTGTTTCTATTCAGTGGACTCCGTACATTCCACCCCAAAACAGTCTTTATGGCATGCATCCATCCCTGCAGGTGTAGATGACCTCCCAAAGTTTATGTTTTCTGATATACTGCTGCTAAAATGCATTTTACTCTAGTGCAGCTTCACTTCGTATGGTGGCCTGTACAGGACAAGAACTGAGTTTAAAGGTGCGTTTTGATTTGGTGTGATTATATTAAAGTATAAATCTATATGCAAGAAGACACAGATTTGATGCATGACGTCAAAACCTGTAAGAGTGGAGAATACAGAGTCTGGAGGTGTGATTCAGGTGATGCGATTGCATTAAAGTCTTGACATTAAAGAGTTGACATTCTTTTGAAGTCCTGAAGATGCATTGTAAATATTCCAACCAACCTTTATTCTGAAAACTAGTTTTGTACTTGTCATGTATTCTTGCCAACAGTCTTGTCAAAGCATGAATATATCTACTTTTATTCAAACATGCATCAAGAGTTTTTTATTTTATTATTTAAGTACTATTATTATTGTATTCTTTGTCATTATATGCTTTAGCAATATTGTCACATTCAGGCCTATAAAGCTTAAATCTGACATAAAAATAGGAAAAAGATGTTAGATCTATGATTATGGATAGAGTGACTAATTGAATGGTTTCTCATTGATGATATATATATATATATATATATATATATATACTACATCAATGAAATTTCCCGATTTGGAAAGCAACTTATTTACAGGAAAATACCATTTGGACCACTGAGCATGCGCAGAAACGGATGGAGCATTTTATCAGGGCAGGGGGGTAGCGTCAGGGGAAGTTGGTTTTCATCCAGTGACGTCAGACGCATGGTGGGATTCGTGGGAAGTTTGAGCAACGTCTGATGTGTAAAAAATGGCTAAATGGATGAGAAACATTGCTTATGGACTAGCATTTCACATCGAACAAACAACATATATGCTGATGAATTGTCCGGGTTGACGAGGATGAAGTTAAAAGAGTACAGAAGCTGGTTTGAGGCTTTATCCACCACTTTGATGAAGGTAAGACAAACTGACGTCATGCCCACAGGTCCGTCCTTACTGTAAACGTTGTGTTTGCGGGCCGCCCCCCTAATATAATGGTAGGGGAAACACTGACTCTAAATTGTCAAAGCTATAATGATGTAGGTGCCAACTGAGGGCCAGATTTACTAAGCTCCCAATACTAAATTGCGTGTTCACTCCAAAAGTTTGCACGTTTGGTTGGTGGGCGTTTTGCAGGTGATCTACTATGAGAATTTGCGTGAATGACACCAGGTGCAAACCTTGTGGAGGCGGTACTATTTAAGTTAGGTTTTTGCATGTTCTACTGGTTTACATCACGGAGAGTTTGGACAGAAAGCAGGATGACTGCAAGCGCAAAATAGGTATTAGTGAGAGAGGCAAATAAACGCACAATACTTTCGAGTTATAGGAGATAAATCTGAATATTACAAAGAAAATTTTGGTTACAAGAAAATATTAAATTCGGCATTAAACAGGGCCTCTCTTTTCTTCCCTTAATCTTAAGAATGAAGTGTCATACATTGCGCAGGAGGTGCGAGCTGTGTCCTCTGTGGCACGGGCGCTCTACACTCACCGTTGTTGCGCACCAGACAGCTGATCGGACATAAATGCCCTGGAAAGAGGTGTCGAAGACGGGGGTACAAACAGTGGTGAGTTTTTTATTTTATTATTTAAGTACTATTATTATTGTATTCTTTGTCATTATATGCTTTAGCAATATTGTCACATTCAGGCCTATAAAGCTTAAATCTGACATAAAAATAGGAAAAAGATGTTAGATCTATGATTATGGATAGAGTGACTAATTGAATGGTTTCTCATTGATGATATATATATATATATATATATACTACATCAATAAAATTATAAAACATATAAAAAGCACATATAAAACATCAATTTGGAATGCAACTTATTTACAGGAAAATACCATTTGGACCACTAAGCATGCGCAGAAATGGATGGAGCATTTTATCAGGGCAGGGGGGTAGCGTCAGGGGAAGTTGGTTTTCATCCAGTGATGTCAGACGCATGGTGGGATTCATGGGAAGTTTGAGCAACGTCTGATGTGTAAAAAATGGCTATTTATTGAATATTTCAAACTGAAATCAAAGCATCGCTTGAAATTAAAACGACACATTTTCGTTTTAAAGTAGAAATGAACTTCTCTTAAACAGTAGAAAATAAATAACTTGCATTTCTTGCAAACTGTTTTTCTGCATTGTTTACATTTGACTTCTTATTCTTCTGTGTCGTCTTCCCTAAAGACAAAATGTGTCCTGAACACTCCACTTGTTGTTTCTTTCTTTGACGATGATAAGAAGGAGTAAAAGTTAGTAAGTTAGGCTTCATTAAGAGCCAAAGGTAAGACTCTTCTGTTCCTAAAGTTGGCTAAATCTTTCCTTTTTGTTTTATAGGAACTGAAGTAGCAAGAAAACATTATTCAAAATCGGCTTTTTCTACATGATTACCGCTCGCTTACCATAAAAAAATGATATTAAACACTAAAGTGAACATTTCCGTTCCATGCCTTCATGAGGTGTTCAGATTTTCTTGTCATTTGAATAACATGAAGTCACATGTTGCACATTATTTAAAACTGATTTAAAATGTACAAAAGCGCGATACAAGCTCAATTCCATTTACCATTTACATGTGGCACAATGTAAAACTGATGTATAAAGTTGTAATGTGTTATCCTGCTGGACAACGTGTCATTGCTAGTGTCCAGACCATAAAGTAACTACAGTGGGTACGGAAAGTATTCAGACCCCTTTACATTTTTCACTCTTTGTTTCATTGCAGCCATTTGCTAAAATCAAAAAAGTTCATTTTATTTCTCATTAATGTACACTCAGCACCCCATCTTGACAGAAAAAAAACAGAAATGTAGAAATTTTTGCAAATTTATTAAAAAAGAAAAACTGAAATATCACATGGTCATAAGTATTCAGACCCTTTGCTGTGACACTCATATTTAACTCACATGCTGTCCATTTCTTCTGATCCTCCTTGAGATGGTTCTGCTCCTTCATTGGAGTCCAGCTGTGTTTAATTAAACTGATTGGACTTGATTAGGAAAGGCACACACCTGTCTATATAAGACCTTACAGCTCACAGTGCATGTCAGAGCAAATGAGAATCATGAGGTCGAAGGAACTGCCCAAGGAGCTCAGAGACAGAATTGTGGCAAGGCACAGATCTGGCCAATGTTACAAAAGAATTTCTGCAGCACTCAAGGTTCCTAAGAGCACAGTGGCCTCCATAATCCTTAAATGGAAGAAGTTTGGGACGACCAGAACTCTTCCTAGACCTGGCCGTCCAGCCAAACTGAGCAATCGTAGGAGAAGAGCCTTGGTGAGAGAGGTAAAGAAGAACCCAAAGATCACTGTGGCTGAGCTCCAGAGATGCAGTAGGGAGATGGGAGAAAGTTCCACAAAGTCAACTATCACTGCAGCCCTCCACCAGTCGGGGCTTTATGGCAGAGTGGCCCGACGGAAGCCTCTCCTCAGTGCAAGACATATGAAAGCCTGCATAGAGTTTGCCAAAAAACACATGAAGGACTCCCAGACTATGAGAAAGAAGATTCTCTGGTCTGATGAGACCAAGATTGAACTTTTTGGCTTTAATTCTAAGCGGTATGTGTGGAGAAAACCAGGCACTGCTCATCACCTGCCCAATACAATCCCAACAGTGAAACATGGTGGTGGCAGCATCATGCTATGGGGGTGTTTTCAGCTGCAGGGACAGGACGACTGGTTGCAATTGAAGGAAAGATGAATGCGGCCAAGTACAGAGATATCCTGGAAGAAAACCTCTTCCAGAGTGCTCAGGACCTCAGACTGGGCCGAAGGTTCACCTTCCAACAAGACAATGACCCTAAGCACACAGCTAAAATAACAAAGGAGTGGCTTCGGAACAACTCTGTGACCATTCTTGACTGGCCCAGCCAGAGCCCTGACCTAAACCCAATTGAGCATCTCTGGAGAGACCTGAAAATGGCTGTCCACCAACGTTCATCATCCAACCTGACAGAACTGGAGAGGATCTGCAAGGAAGAATGGCAGAGGATCCCCAAATCCAGGTGTGAAAAACTTGTTGCATCATTCCCAAGAAGACTCATGGCTGTACTAGCTCAAAAGGGTGCTTCTACTCAATACTGAGCAAAGGGTCTGAATACTTATGACCATGTGATATTTCAGTTTTTCTTTTTTAATAAATTTGCAAAAATTCTACATTTCTGTTTTTTTTCTGTCAAGATGGGGTGCTGAGTGTACATTAATGAGAAATAAAATGAACTTTTTTGATTTTAGCAAATGGCTGCAATGAAACAAAGAGTGAAAAATGTAAAGGGGTCTGAATACTTTCCGTACCCACTGTATATACACAGTGCAGTGTGGGTCTTTTAATGAGCAAATTTCCATTAAGCTGCAGTTGGGTTCCAAAAACCAGCAGTGGGCAACAGCACTATAGGTAAAAAGAAGTCCCAAGCAACGATCCATCTCATGCAGTGTGTGACTTTTGGGGTCTGAGATGGTATAAAGATGAGGAGTGGGACACACTACTATTATATCCCATGTTGCCTGGAAAAAAGATAAATACAAATAAAAGTCCAATCTACTTAATTTGAGTGGTTTAGGTTACAGTGATTTTAGCAAACTATCAAAAGTCAGACAAACATGTGTCTTTACGCTTTATTTAAATTCTCAAACTTTATTGAACACTTCTGCTGCAATATATGTTTTTGGGGACACTGAACAATCACTCCTTCATGTCACCATGTTAGATATAAACTCTGGATAAGGTAACTCTTGTAAGGTCTTAAAAGTGACATGTATCTCTTGTGCAGGAACTGCGTGAGCTCCAGGGACGTATGGAAGACACTTCAGTCATTGTGTATAGATGGACAACAGCAGGAGCCTGGACATCGATGCCATGTAGGCTGAAGTCGAGGCTCAGGACAAAACAGCCTTCACAGGCCTAGGCTGCGCCGGGCTTGGAATGAGATAGGGGGAGATGGAGATTATGACATATTGAAGGGGGAAAAGCTGTTTTTATAGAACAAATCAATGAGTGGATGTGCAAAAAATTTTCTCCAGCGAAACAAAGACAAAACTGAGGATGTTGTTTTTGGAGCAAAGGAGGAGTGACTAAGAGTCAGCAATCAGCTTCAGTCAGTAAGACTTTAAACCACAGACCAGGCAAGAAATCTGGGCATAGTGATGGAGTGAGACCTCAATTTTGAAAGCCACATTAAGATAATTACAAAGTCAGCCTACTATCACCTGAAGAACATATCAAGAATTAGAGGACTTCTGTCCCAGCATGACCTGGAAAAACTTGTCCATGCTTTTATCTTCAGTCGTCTTGATTACTGCAACAGTGTCTTTACAGGTCTGCCTAAAACATCAGTCAGACAACTGAAGCTGATCCAGAACACTGCTGCTAGAGTCCTCACCAAAACCAAGAAAATGGATCACATCAGTCCAGTTCTGAGGTCTGTACACTGGCTCCCAGTCTGTCAGAGAAAATACTTTAAAATCCTGCTGCTGGTTTATAAAGTGCTTAATGGTTTAGGGCCAAAATACATTAGTGACCTCCTGATTAATTACGAACCATCCAGACCGCTCAGATCGTCTGGGACAGGTCTGCTCTCTGTCCCCAGAGTCAGAACCAAACATGGAGAAGCAGCGTTCAGTTTCTATGCTCCTTATATCTGGATCAAACTCCCAGAAAACTGCAGGTCTGCTGAAACTCTGAGCTCTTTTAAATCCAGGTTGAAGACTCACCTGTTTACAGCTGCCTTTCATTCAACAGCTTTAATAAGATTTAAAATTTTAACTCTGCACTGTAACTTTTAACTCTTTTTATATTTTTACTTTATTTTTTTCAATTAATCTAATTTCAATTATTTTTATTTGAACATATTTTCTAATTTTAATGTTTGATTTTAATGATTTTTTAATGGTTTTTTAATGTTCTATTTTAATGTTTCTTTTATTTCCTCTGTCATGATGATTTTGATGTATAAATATAAATAAACTTGCCTTGCCTTGCCTTAAAAAGTGGTGCAGATGGGGCGCGGTGGCCTGGTGGTTTGTGTGCGCACCCCATGTGCAGTCCTCTAATCGGGTGGCCTGGGTTCAGGTCCCAACTGTGGCTCCTTTCCCGCATGTCATTCCCATCTCTCTCTCTCTGATTTCTGACTCTGTCCACTATCCTATCCCTGTGTGTCTCATCACTTTTAAAGGTAAGTCCATGACCTTAAACTCCAGTGTATATCATTTGATGTTAGTGTGTGTAGCAAACAAATGCATATACAAAGTTCTAGTTTGACAAAGAATCAGCTGGTAACAGTAAAATGTCTAATTCTAAGTTTTTAACCAAATACAGAGTTTAAGACAATTAGCTCAGCTGTTTATTTAGCAATTAGCAGGTTACATCTGATAAAATCCGACACTGACAGTTGTCATTTTGTTCATCAAGTGGTGACTAAAAACAAAAAGTTTCCTGTATTATTTCTGAGTAATATTTGAAAATGTATTGTTTCAAAATGATAGTTTAATAGTAACTCTGCTGCTGTCAACCCTTATCTTTGAACACTATTATTATTCTATGCTAAGATTCTAATAGACAGGAAGATGTATAAAGAGGTGTATTAAACCAAATCATTTGTGTAGTTCAAAGTTGCTTCATAACAAAACCTTAAAAGAAAAAACTCAACAGCTAAAGTGATTATGAAATCAGATTTATTTCAGGCATTTGGTGTTACAAATTCATGATGGATCTGTTCTTTTCCAGTCAGCCTTAACCATGTTTCATTTTCATTTAGAGTGGAAATGGAAGCAAAGCAGGATCAGGACACCACTGATATGCTGAAGTGGAGAGCTCATTTTCTCTCCGAACAAGAAAAGAAAAGAGGACACAACAAGTGAAATATGACAGTGTTAAGTGTGGCTGCTTTTGATGATGTCACAATGCACACGATGACAGATGTGATACAACAGAGAAGACATTGCAGGAAGATGGAGTCATAGGTGTGACAGGTGTATGTCATGTATTCTTAAAAATTCAAGACCAGGTATACAATTCTGCCCCCTGCTCAAATATTTAACATGCTGGTATTTTGTGTGCAGTTATTGTTGCTTTGTTGAGATTTTCTGTCATGACACTACAAGTATCATCTTGTCTGCTTGACAGCACATCCAGCAACTAAAAGACAGCCTGGCTGACTGATCCAAAGAAGAGAGGACAGACTCACATCTCTGCTGCTCTGTTTTTCTGGTCTAATAATCGCTTTGCCTCTGATTGCTTTTTGATGTTATCTCTTACTCTCTCTGTGGTGCCGATAAGGAAGGAGCACCTCAGTGACTAAATTCCTGGGTCTGCTGGATTTTGAGGGGTGTTGAGGGTTATGGAAGCTTTGTGAGAGGCTGGAGGTACAAGAGGTGGAGAACAAATGAAGGAATGAAGAGAGAGACAACAGCTGGATTTAGTAACGAGATGACTGCCTTGAGCTGGACGTCCGTTGCACCGAGCTGCTGCTCATTCCGCCGCCGCCGCCGCCGCTGCTGCTGAAGCCGCTGCTGAAGCCGCCGCCGCTGCTGCTGAAGCCGCTGCTGATGCCGCCGCCCATTCCGCCGCCGCCATAGCCGCCGCCCATTCCGCCGCCGCCGCCATAGCCGCCGCCCATTCCGCCGCCGCCGCCAAAGCCATAGCCCATGCCGCCGCCTCCGCCACCACCACCTGCGTTTTCAGATGGAATATTAGAAATCATTATTCCTTACATCTCAAATGGTGCTCTTGATTTGATGCTCAAGTGACACGGTAATAGCAAAAACTTTTCTCACTTTCAGTTTTCATAATCACATTAATGTCTTAAGATGGCCTGGATATTTAAATGTAGAGATATTTGTTAAATACGTACCAGAACTGGAGGATGATGTCTGGACGTGGATAGTTGCACTTCCACCACCACTGGCAATCCTGAAATTTGTACACAGATAAGAATTTGAAGATGTTGAAGTCGCTTCCTGCACAATGTATTTTACGTTTTCATTAAATGTCTCTATGGTCCAAAGTAGATTTGATTTTTCAGTACCTGTCCTCCTCTCCCTCCAGCAGCTTCCTGTAGGTGGCGATCTCAATGTCCAGAGCCAGCTTGACGTTCATGAGCTCCTGGTACTCACGGACCTGGCGGGCCATGTCCTGTTTTGCTCTTTGCAGGGCCTCCTCAAGGTCCCTGATGCGGGCCTTGGCGTCCTTGACTGCCAACTCTCCACGCTCCTCGGCCTCAGCAATCTGGGCCTCAAGGTTGGCTCGCTGGCAGGTAGAAAGGTAAGCAGAGGCTTTAGAAATTTAATAAAAAAACAAGCTTTGTGTGTTTATGGCTGAAAGGTCTAAATATATGTATTAAAGTGATGGTTAAGTAGCTGTTACTGTGAGTTTACCTGTCCTTTCACTGACTCAATCTCATTCTGGAGACGGCTAATCATGCGTGTGAGCTCAGCAATCTCACTCTTGGTGTTGCGAAGGTCATCTCCTGCTGCGCCTGCGGAGGACTGCATCTCCTGGAACTATATTAAAAAGATTTTTTTTTAATGACTTTTGTTAGAGATCCCAATCTTATTTGATATTGCAGATTTTTTATTTCATATTCAAACTGTGGGTGAGGTTACTTTCTCGACCTACCTTTTGTTGGTACCAACACTCTGCCTCAGCACGGTTGCGTTTGGCGATTTCGTCATACTGAGCCTTGACATCAGCCACAATGGCATCCATGTCCAGGGTACGGCTGTTGTTCATCTCCACAACGACTGAAGTGTCCTTGATCTGTCCCTGGAGCTCATTCAGTTCCTGCACAAGAGATTTCATTTTTAAAATTGGACTTAGAAAGGAGAGCTTGCATCTATTTTTTTATCCATACCCAAGACGGCCAGATTTTTATCTCTTATTGTAAGCAAAATTAGATTTTACTAAAAATGGGACGCAAAGAGACAGACATGATTTTCTTACCGCCTCAAAGACAGCTCTGAGGAAGTTGATTTCATCCTGAAGGGAATCGACCTTGGCTTCTAGCTCAACCTTGTTCATGTAGGCCGCATCGACATCCTGTCAGCAGAGAAACAGAAAGCGGACGTATTTGATGAAGGCATCATTTCACTGGTAAAGTGACATTTTTACATCTCAGATCAACTCTTACCTTCTTGAGGAGCACAAAGTCATTCTCTACAGCTGCACGCTTGTTGATTTCATCTTCATATCTGACACAAATATGGAAATAATTAGCTGATTGAAAAATACAGTGTTTCTACGACTGCAGGTCGTCCGTGCTAGTATCAACTCACTTGGTCTTAAAGTCCTCTACCAGTCCCTGCATGTTCCTCAGCTCTGACTCCAGCTTGACCTTCTCATTGCCGAGACCGTCGAGCTGTCTGCGCAGGTTTGCAATGTAAGCCTCGAACATGGCATCAATGTTGGAGCGGGTGGTGGTCTGTTCCTGCAGCAGGCTCCACTTGGTTTCCAGCATTTTGTTCTGCTGCTCCAGGAAGCGCACCTAAAAAGTACAAGGGTTTGCATAATTAAGATCTATAGAAGTCAACCAGAAAATGACCATACTATGTAGTTGTTTATTACATCAATTAAATATTTTCCCAACAAGTTCATGGTCTCATTCAAAACCCTTATTCAGTGCATTTGAAGATGACATGATAAAGGGGGTATACTATAGGCTGGAGCTTCCTTAGATTGACAAGTCATTTCAGCTCCAACCTAGTTACCGAAATATTCTCACATTTGGTTGCACAAAACATAGTTGCCAACTGTCAAACTGCCCAACTCGAGGCTACAAAAAGGGGGGTGGGGGTTCACAAACCAATCAGTGATGTCACTTTTAATATAAATTGAATGGGGGGAAAAAGTTATTGGCACAACTTGAAAACTTTTTCAGATTTTTTTAAAAACTCTAAAATAAAATGACATTAAGACAGGAAATAATGTATTTCAACACACATGTTGGCTCTTTTCTTCATGAATTAGTCATGCTGACTCCAATGTTAAAAGTATGTTTGTCTACTGTGTTTCACTTTACTCAGGTGACCCCTCTAGCTGTGTCCCACACAGAAAGAACAACTGCTTTAAGAAAACACCCCTCGGGGCAGAAATATTCTAGACAAACTCCAGTCTGAGGTCTCTCTGCTCAGTACAGTTGATCTCTGATGAGAGATCTGACATGCTAATAAACATTGAGAAACATTGAGAGAACAATTCTTTGGCATGCGGCTCTGAACCCTACAGAAGGTTTTGGGTGTGAACTTGTCACATCATTTTTTTTTCTAAGGCAAGCTGAGGTGTTTGTGCCACACCTTAGCCCCGCCCCTCCCCATAAACCTCTAACATTACCGCTCCCTCGCCTCTGGGAACCACACTTTCACTGAGGGAACATGTCTGCAACAGCCCGCTGTAATTAATGCTACACGCCTGGAGCTGTTAAGTGTTGTATCCATTGAGTTCTGGTACTTTATTACAAAAATAGAAAATACATTTGAATGATCAATACACCCTTGACTTTATTTGTCCTACTTGCAATGGTTTTTAAATCTTAATTGTGTATGTTCAGTTTAATTGTTTTTTTTGTAAGAAGTCTACTTTTAAGAAACTGATGGGATCAGATCCCGTATGTGCCAAAGATTAGGTGTGGCTTGACTCACTGGTTATAACTCTGAGCATTTTCCCTCACTGGGTGTGGTAAATTTGTTTTCCATTCTTGCCGGAGAGAAACTCCCTTCTCATTGTTTTACAAGTTGTTCAGTCAAACATGAAAGAAAAAAAACTGTTGATGTGGGAAGCTGGTGACCTAGTGGTTAATTTTTCATTCCAAATGTACGGAGGCTACAGTCCTCGAAGCGGGCGGCAGGGTTCAAATCTGACCTGTGGGTCCTTTCTAGTATGTCATTGCCCCCTCTCACTCCAAGATTCCCAACTCTATCCTCTGACCTGTCTAATAAAAGCATTAAGTGCTTCAAAAAATCTAAATAAAAAGTGTTGACGTGTGATTTATTATTGCATAATCCCTCATCATATGAAACAATAGTCAGACTTTTAAACGGATTAAACAACTAAAAAAATTAAGATTTGTTATCAATGCATCATAGGTTTTCAAGGCTTCCATGCAGCGCTATTAAAAACTTGTGAGTTCTTGCGGCCATTGAAATGGGCATTAACCCGATCCCTTCTTCCCCTCATACTGAGTGTCACTGGATCCAACCACTCTTGTATTTTCTCCCTCTCAATCTACACAGAGACAGCTGGTAAAGGTCCAAGTGTGATGAAAGATAAGTTAAAGGAGTAGGTCAGGTTTCATTTACTGTTGGCTGATGCAAAGTTTTGCTTTGTGAATGCAGCGTGAGACACTGCTGTTTTGAACAACAAATAATGCTTGGTTGCATTAAGGGTTAGAGTTATGGATTTCAATGCTGTTGGCATTCCGATAATTCATGTTGGATCAGTTGCTGTGCAATATTTTATGTGCCTTGGAGCCCATTTGGATGCAGTTTGTTGCACTTCTACATGCTTGCACTAACCAATAAACTGTGGCTCATCTGTTTTGTGCATCCAACATCAATACCTCATATTTTGTTCAACCAAATGTACGCTTGGGTTGACATATTAAAACTTTCTGGCTTCAAATACCATATTTTGCATGACAGGGCCAATTTAAAATCAATCGAATACTGTAAACATTCTTTAACTGAGGCTGTTTCCTTGAAGTGAAAGAAGAAACTCTTACCTTGTCAATGAAGCTGGCGAAGCGGTTGTTGAGGGTCTTGATCTGCTCTTTCTCATTGCTTCGGACCTTCGAGATGTTGGGGTCGATCTCAAGGTTCAGAGGGCACAACAGGCTCTGGTTGACTTGGACGTTTGTGATTGGCGCACAAAAACCTCCGCCGCCGCCAGCACCCATACCACCTCCGAAACCACCTCCGAAACAACCAGCACCACCACCGAAACCACCACCGCCACCACCACCGCCACCACCACCACCAAGATAACTGAAACCACCACCACCACCACCATAACTGAAACCACCACCACCACCCATACCACTTTTCATACTAAACATTGAGCTGCCCGACCTACCACCTCCGAAATTCCCACCACTAACACTAAACCTTGAGCCGCCGCTCATCCTACCACCGCCTCCCATCATGCCAGAACTGACAGATTGTGAGCTATATGTCTTACGGAAGCTACCGCTACCTCCACCTCCACCTCCACCACCACCACCACCGCCTCTGGAGGTCACGGTGTAGCTCTTCACAGACGTATTCATATTTTCCTCTGACAGGGTAGAATTCACAGACAAAAGGTAGAGCAGAGAGAGAGAGGTATGGCAGGGCGCACAAAGAGGAGAGTCGAGTCCCTCTAAGTGTCTTCTTGCTCTCCGTGATGGACTTTTATCTGCCTCCAACAGTGGAGGAGGTCTCAGTAAGCTCCACCTCCCCCTTTACCTGCCTCCTGTTACCTAGATCCTGGAAGGTGCATTTGCAGGCAATAAGCAGTATGACTTGCTTTTAGTTTCGTTAGTGGCTTCGTTGATGAAATTTGTTTTTTCATGTAGCACTTTGAGATTTAATTGCAAAAATGTAAAGTGCGTTACAAATTAAATGTATTATTATTATTATTATTATTATTAAGACACAGATTTGATGCATGACGTCAAAACCTGTAAGAGTGGAGAATACAGAGTCTGGAGGTGTGATTCAGGTGATGCGATTGCATTAAAGTCTTGACATTAAAGAGTTGACATTCTTTTGAAGTCCTGAAGATGCATTGTAAATATTCCAACCAACCTTTATTCTGAAAACTAGTTTTGTACTTGTCATGTATTCTTGCCAACAGTCTTGTCAAAGCATGAATATATCTACTTTTATTCAAACATGCATAAAAAAAAAAACTCACCTATATATATATATATATATATATATATATACTACATCAATGAAATTTCCCGATTTGGAAAGCAACTTATTTACAGGAAAATACCATTTGGACCACTGAGCATGCGCAGAAACGGATGGAGCATTTTATCAGGGCAGGGGGGTAGCGTCAGGGGAAGTTGGTTTTCATCCAGTGACGTCAGACGCATGGTGGGATTCGTGGGAAGTTTGAGCAACGTCTGATGTGTAAAAAATGGCTAAATGGATGAGAAACATTGCTTATGGACTAGCATTTCACATCGAACAAACAACATATATGCTGATGAATTGTCCGGGTTGACGAGGATGAAGTTAAAAGAGTACAGAAGCTGGTTTGAGGCTTTATCCACCACTTTGATGAAGGTAAGACAAACTGACGTCATGCCCACAGGTCCGTCCTTACTGTAAACGTTGTGTTTGCGGGCCGCCCCCCTAATATAATGGTAGGGGAAACACTGACTCTAAATTGTCAAAGCTATAATGATGTAGGTGCCAACTGAGGGCCAGATTTACTAAGCTCCCAATACTAAATTGCGTGTTCACTCCAAAAGTTTGCACGTTTGGTTGGTGGGCGTTTTGCAGGTGATCTACTATGAGAATTTGCGTGAATGACACCAGGTGCAAACCTTGTGGAGGCGGTACTATTTAAGTTAGGTTTTTGCATGTTCTACTGGTTTACATCACGGAGAGTTTGGACAGAAAGCAGGATGACTGCAAGCGCAAAATAGGTATTAGTGAGAGAGGCAAATAAACGCACAATACTTTCGAGTTATAGGAGATAAATCTGAATATTACAAAGAAAATTTTGGTTACAAGAAAATATTAAATTCGGCATTAAACAGGGCCTCTCTTTTCTTCCCTTAATCTTAAGAATGAAGTGTCATACATTGCGCAGGAGGTGCGAGCTGTGTCCTCTGTGGCACGGGCGCTCTACACTCACCGTTGTTGCGCACCAGACAGCTGATCGGACATAAATGCCCTGGAAAGAGGTGTCGAAGACGGGGGTACAAACAGTGGTGAGTTTTTTATTTTATTATTTAAGTACTATTATTATTGTATTCTTTGTCATTATATGCTTTAGCAATATTGTCACATTCAGGCCTATAAAGCTTAAATCTGACATAAAAATAGGAAAAAGATGTTAGATCTATGATTATGGATAGAGTGACTAATTGAATGGTTTCTCATTGATGATATATATATATATATATATATATACTACATCAATAAAATTATAAAACATATAAAAAGCACATATAAAACATCAATTTGGAATGCAACTTATTTACAGGAAAATACCATTTGGACCACTAAGCATGCGCAGAAATGGATGGAGCATTTTATCAGGGCAGGGGGGTAGCGTCAGGGGAAGTTGGTTTTCATCCAGTGATGTCAGACGCATGGTGGGATTCATGGGAAGTTTGAGCAACGTCTGATGTGTAAAAAATGGCTATTTATTGAATATTTCAAACTGAAATCAAAGCATCGCTTGAAATTAAAATGACACATTTTCGTTTTAAAGTAGAAATGAACTTCTCTTAAACAGTAGAAAATAAATAACTTGCATTTCTTGCAAACTGTTTTTCTGCATTGTTTACATTTGACTTCTTATTCTTCTGTGTCGTCTTCCCTAAAGACAAAATGTGTCCTGAACACTCCACTTGTTGTTTCTTTCTTTGACGATGATAAGAAGGAGTTAAAGTTAGTAAGTTAGGCTTCATTAAGAGCCAAAGGTAAGACTCTTCTGTTCCTAAAGTTGGCTAAATCTTTCCTTTTTGTTTTATAGGAACTGAAGTAGCAAGAAAACATTATTCAAAATCGGCTTTTTCTACATGATTACCGCTCGCTTACCATAAAAAAATGATATTAAACACTAAAGTGAACATTTCCGTTCCATGCCTTCATGAGGTGTTCAGATTTTCTTGTCATTTGAATAACATGAAGTCACATGTTGCACATTATTTAAAACTGATTTAAAATGTACAAAAGCGCGATACAAGCTCAACTCCATTTACCATTTACATGTGGCACAATGTAAAACTGATGTATAAAGTTGTAATGTGTTATCCTGCTGGACAACGTGTCATTGCTAGTGTCCAGACCATAAAGTAACTACAGTGGGTACGGAAAGTATTCAGACCCCTTTACATTTTTCACTCTTTGTTTCATTGCAGCCATTTGCTAAAATCAAAAAAGTTCATTTTATTTCTCATTAATGTACACTCAGCACCCCATCTTGACAGAAAAAAAACAGAAATGTAGAAATTTTTGCAAATTTATTAAAAAAGAAAAACTGAAATATCACATGGTCATAAGTATTCAGACCCTTTGCTGTGACACTCATATTTAACTCACATGCTGTCCATTTCTTCTGATCCTCCTTGAGATGGTTCTGCTCCTTCATTGGAGTCCAGCTGTGTTTAATTAAACTGATTGGACTTGATTAGGAAAGGCACACACCTGTCTATATAAGACCTTACAGCTCACAGTGCATGTCAGAGCAAATGAGAATCATGAGGTCGAAGGAACTGCCCAAGGAGCTCAGAGACAGAATTGTGGCAAGGCACAGATCTGGCCAAGGTTACAAAAGAATTTCTGCAGCACTCAAGGTTCCTAAGAGCACAGTGGCCTCCATAATCCTTAAATGGAAGAAGTTTGGGACGACCAGAACTCTTCCTAGACCTGGCCGTCCAGCCAAACTGAGCAATCGTAGGAGAAGAGCCTTGGTGAGAGAGGTAAAGAAGAACCCAAAGATCACTGTGGCTGAGCTCCAGAGATGCAGTAGGGAGATGGGAGAAAGTTCCACAAAGTCAACTATCACTGCAGCCCTCCACCAGTCGGGGCTTTATGGCAGAGTGGCCCGACGGAAGCCTCTCCTCAGTGCAAGACATATGAAAGCCTGCATAGAGTTTGCCAAAAAACACATGAAGGACTCCCAGACTATGAGAAAGAAGATTCTCTGGTCTGATGAGACCAAGATTGAACTTTTTGGCTTTAATTCTAAGCGGTATGTGTGGAGAAAACCAGGCACTGCTCATCACCTGCCCAATACAATCCCAACAGTGAAACATGGTGGTGGCAGCATCATGCTATGGGGGTGTTTTTCAGCTGCAGGGACAGGACGACTGGTTGCAATTGAAGGAAAGATGAATGCGGCCAAGTACAGAGATATCCTGGAAGAAAACCTCTTCCAGAGTGCTCAGGACCTCAGACTGGGCCGAAGGTTCACCTTCCAACAAGACAATGACCCTAAGCACACAGCTAAAATAACAAAGGAGTGGCTTCGGAACAACTCTGTGACCATTCTTGACTGGCCCAGCCAGAGCCCTGACCTAAACCCAATTGAGCATCTCTGGAGAGACCTGAAAATGGCTGTCCACCAACGTTCATCATCCAACCTGACAGAACTGGAGAGAAATCTGCAAGGAAGAATGGCAGAGGATCCCCAAATCCAGGTGTGAAAAACTTGTTGCATCATTCCCAAGAAGACTCATGGCTGTACTAGCTCAAAAGGGTGCTTCTACTCAATACTGAGCAAAGGGTCTGAATACTTATGACCATGTGATATTTCAGTTTTTCTTTTTTAATAAATTTGCAAAAATTTCTACATTTCTGTTTTTTTTCTGTCAAGATGGGGTGCTGAGTGTACATTAATGAGAAATAAAATGAACTTTTTTGATTTTAGCAAATGGCTGCAATGAAACAAAGAGTGAAAAATGTAAAGGGGTCTGAATACTTTCCGTACCCACTGTATATACACAGTGCAGTGTGGGTCTTTTAATGAGCAAATTTCCATTAAGCTGCAGTTGGGTTCCAAAAACCAGCAGGGGGGCAACAGCACTATAGGTAAAAAGAAGTCCCAAGCAACGATCCATCTCATGCAGTGTGTGACTTTTGGGGTCTGAGATGGTATAAAGATGAGGAGTGGGACACACTACTATTATATCCCATGTTGCCTGGAAAAAAGATAAATACAAATAAAAGTCCAATCTACTTAATTTGAGTGGTTTAGGTTACAGTGATTTTAGCAAACTATCAAAAGTCAGACAAACATGTGTCTTTACGCTTTATTTAAATTCTCAAACTTTATTGAACACTTCTGCTGCAATATATGTTTTTGGGGACACTGAACAATCACTCCTTCATGTCACCATGTTAGATATAAACTCTGGATAAGGTAACTCTTGTAAGGTCTTAAAAGTGACATGTATCTCTTGTGCAGGAACTGCGTGAGCTCCAGGGACGTATGGAAGACACTTCAGTCATTGTGTATAGATGGACAACAGCAGGAGCCTGGACATCGATGCCATGTAGGCTGAAGTCGAGGCTCAGGACAAAACAGCCTTCACAGGCCTAGGCTGCGCCGGGCTTGGAATGAGATAGGGGGAGATGGAGATTATGACATATTGAAGGGGGAAAAGCTGTTTTTATAGAACAAATCAATGAGTGGATGTGCAAAAAATTTTCTCCAGCGAAACAAAGACAAAACTGAGGATGTTGTTTTTGGAGCAAAGGAGGAGTGACTAAGAGTCAGCAATCAGCTTCAGTCAGTAAGACTTTAAACCACAGACCAGGCAAGAAATCTGGGCATAGTGATGGAGTGAGACCTCAATTTTGAAAGCCACATTAAGATAATTACAAAGTCAGCCTACTATCACCTGAAGAACATATCAAGAATTAGAGGACTTCTGTCCCAGCATGACCTGGAAAAACTTGTCCATGCTTTTATCTTCAGTCGTCTTGATTACTGCAACAGTGTCTTTACAGGTCTGCCTAAAACATCAGTCAGACAACTGAAGCTGATCCAGAACACTGCTGCTAGAGTCCTCACCAAAACCAAGAAAATGGATCACATCAGTCCAGTTCTGAGGTCTGTACACTGGCTCCCAGTCTGTCAGAGAAAATACTTTAAAATCCTGCTGCTGGTTTATAAAGTGCTTAATGGTTTAGGGCCAAAATACATTAGTGACCTCCTGATTAATTACGAACCATCCAGACCGCTCAGATCGTCTGGGACAGGTCTGCTCTCTGTCCCCAGAGTCAGAACCAAACATGGAGAAGCAGCGTTCAGTTTCTATGCTCCTTATATCTGGATCAAACTCCCAGAAAACTGCAGGTCTGCTGAAACTCTGAGCTCTTTTAAATCCAGGTTGAAGACTCACCTGTTTACAGCTGCCTTTCATTCAACAGCTTTAATAAGATTTAAAATTTTAACTCTGCACTGTAACTTTTAACTCTTTTTATATTTTTACTTTATTTTTTTCAATTAATCTAATTTCAATTATTTTTATTTGAACATATTTTCTAATTTTAATGTTTGATTTTAATGATTTTTTAATGGTTTTTTAATGTTCTATTTTAATGTTTCTTTTATTTCCTCTGTCATGATGATTTTGATGTATAAATATAAATAAACTTGCCTTGCCTTGCCTTAAAAAGTGGTGCAGATGGGGCGCGGTGGCCTGGTGGTTTGTGTGCGCACCCCATGTGCAGTCCTCTAATCGGGTGGCCTGGGTTCAGGTCCCAACTGTGGCTCCTTTCCCGCATGTCATTCCCATCTCTCTCTCTCTGATTTCTGACTCTGTCCACTATCCTATCCCTGTGTGTCTCATCACTTTTAAAGGTAAGTCCATGACCTTAAACTCCAGTGTATATCATTTGATGTTAGTGTGTGTAGCAAACAAATGCATATACAAAGTTCTAGTTTGACAAAGAATCAGCTGGTAACAGTAAAATGTCTAATTCTAAGTTTTTAACCAAATACAGAGTTTAAGACAATTAGCTCAGCTGTTTATTTAGCAATTAGCAGGTTACATCTGATAAAATCCGACACTGACAGTTGTCATTTTGTTCATCAAGTGGTGACTAAAAACAAAAAGTTTCCTGTATTATTTCTGAGTAATATTTGAAAATGTATTGTTTCAAAATGATAGTTTAATAGTAACTCTGCTGCTGTCAACCCTTATCTTTGAACACTATTATTATTCTATGCTAAGATTCTAATAGACAGGAAGATGTATAAAGAGGTGTATTAAACCAAATCATTTGTGTAGTTCAAAGTTGCTTCATAACAAAACCTTAAAAGAAAAAACTCAACAGCTAAAGTGATTATGAAATCAGATTTATTTCAGGCATTTGGTGTTACAAATTCATGATGGATCTGTTCTTTTCCAGTCAGCCTTAACCATGTTTCATTTTCATTTAGAGTGGAAATGGAAGCAAAGCAGGATCAGGACACCACTGATATGCTGAAGTGGAGAGCTCATTTTCTCTCCGAACAAGAAAAGAAAAGAGGACACAACAAGTGAAATATGACAGTGTTAAGTGTGGCTGCTTTTGATGATGTCACAATGCACACGATGACAGATGTGATACAACAGAGAAGACATTGCAGGAAGATGGAGTCATAGGTGTGACAGGTGTATGTCATGTATTCTTAAAAATTCAAGACCAGGTATACAATTCTGCCCCCTGCTCAAATATTTAACATGCTGGTATTTTGTGTGCAGTTATTGTTGCTTTGTTGAGATTTTCTGTCATGACACTACAAGTATCATCTTGTCTGCTTGACAGCACATCCAGCAACTAAAAGACAGCCTGGCTGACTGATCCAAAGAAGAGAGGACAGACTCACATCTCTGCTGCTCTGTTTTTCTGGTCTAATAATCGCTTTGCCTCTGATTGCTTTTTGATGTTATCTCTTACTCTCTCTGTGGTGCCGATAAGGAAGGAGCACCTCAGTGACTAAATTCCTGGGTCTGCTGGATTTTGAGGGGTGTTGAGGGTTATGGAAGCTTTGTGAGAGGCTGGAGGTACAAGAGGTGGAGAACAAATGAAGGAATGAAGAGAGAGACAACAGCTGGATTTAGTAACGAGATGACTGCCTTGAGCTGGACGTCCGTTGCACCGAGCTGCTGCTCATTCCGCCGCCGCCGCCGCCGCTGCTGCTGAAGCCGCTGCTGAAGCCGCCGCCGCTGCTGCTGAAGCCGCTGCTGATGCCGCCGCCCATTCCGCCGCCGCCATAGCCGCCGCCCATTCCGCCGCCGCCGCCATAGCCGCCGCCCATTCCGCCGCCGCCGCCAAAGCCATAGCCCATGCCGCCGCCTCCGCCACCACCACCTGCGTTTTCAGATGGAATATTAGAAATCATTATTCCTTACATCTCAAATGGTGCTCTTGATTTGATGCTCAAGTGACACGGTAATAGCAAAAACTTTTCTCACTTTCAGTTTTCATAATCACATTAATGTCTTAAGATGGCCTGGATATTTAAATGTAGAGATATTTGTTAAATACGTACCAGAACTGGAGGATGATGTCTGGACGTGGATGGTTGCACTTCCACCACCACTGGCAATCCTGAAATTTGTACACAGATAAGAATTTGAAGAT